CGCGTCAGCATTAGTATCTCATGGGTGACGTGGAAATCTATTGAAATATTCCATTAATAAATTAAAATAAAATTTATTTTAATAAATTTAATACATTTTTAAAAATTTAATAAATAGGGAAAAGAACTCACTCATAATCAGATAGTGTCGCTCCTAACGCTCGGCGGCGCTGGCCCTAGCGGCTGCGGCGCGCGCGGTAAGGAGAGGAAAGGAGGCGTATACCACGGAAATCGGCTGAAATGTTCAGACTAATTCCGAGCACTGTTCTAAAGTATATGTAAATAATAGATATAGTACAAATAAATACACATATTTAATATAATATAAAAACATTTTAGGCTGTCCTGCAAAGTCGATGCTTCGAGAAAAGTTCACTTTATAACATTTTTAAATCAACATTGAAAACAGGACTTGTCACATCTCCTGGTAAGATATTTCAATAAGAATAAAGCTTAATTAATTGTTATTACTTACTCTAAATAATATTTAATTTAGTTTAAATAATGAAGTAGTAACAAGCACTTTCTTATATACTATTCATTTAGCATTATGTTTATAACACAATAATTACAATAATATTTATGCATAAATAATATTTGCTTATACAGGGTGATTCAAAATAATCTGATGTCCTTGCAATGCCATATTCTTGAGCAAATTCTGTGACGATTTTTCCTTTTACAAAATTTTGTCCGAAGCTTAGTTTTCGACTTATAATTGAAAATAGTTTACTACTTAGGAGTCCGATACAACAGACAGACAGGGACGAGCAATGCGTCGTGAGACGATAGTAAACACTTGACAGTCTTATTATACGTTGCGCGTCCCTGCCTGCCCGTTGTACCGAACTCGTAAATTGCTATCTATTTTCAATTATAACTCGAAAACTAAGCTTCGAACAAAATTTTGTAAAAGGAAAAATCGTCTCAGAATTCGCTCAAGAATATGGCATTGCAAGGACATCTGGTTATTTTGAATTACCCTGTATATAAAGGGTGTCCTTAAAATTTTGACAAAGCGCTCGTGTGCAGGTAAAGCGGACTAAACTGAGTCGAAAAGTCTTGTACCATTTTGCAATTTTGGCAACAGTTAACGAGTTATTAATTACTAAAAATCGCCGAATAAATGCATATCCGCCCAGCCTATCGCCGAATGCAAGCGCGCGGCGAGATATAATAAAAAAACAGGAGACCATCATATATCATATATAGAGCGGACTTTGCTGCTTATAGTAAACAATTTCCCGCGCGCCTAGCGACCATGATTGCTGCGCGGTTGTACAGGGTGTTGCATATACATATTGGGCAGTACGACGGGTTGCGCGGCATACTTTGCAGGGATAGGCGCGGTTCAGTGGGTAATGACAGCAATTTACAACGCTAACACGCGCGAAAAGTAAAGCAGTAAAGAAAGAAATTTTGTTGTATCATATTTGTTTTTTTAACGTGTTAACTTTCTAAAATTTAATTTTTCATCTTTAATGTGTTTTAGCTTCTCTAGTTATAATCGCAACGATTATTCAAGTCCGTCATAATTGAAACGCCGTAAACTCAAAATTAGTAAAAATGCGCGCAATCAATTCGATTAATAAGTTATGATGGTACGTATATATGCTGTCATCACCCACTGAACCGCGCCTATCCCTGCAAAATATGCCGCGCAACTCGTCGTACTGCCCAATATGTATATGCAACACTCTGTATCTCGCCGCGCGCTTACATTCGGCGGTAGGCTAAGTGGATATGCGCTTATTCGCCGATCTTTAGTAATTAATAACTCGTTAATTGTTGCGAAAATTGCAAAATGGTACAGGACTTTTCGATTCAGTTTAGTCCGTTCTATCTGCACACGAGCGCTTTGTTAAAATTTTAGGGACATCCTGTATATATAGAAGAAATCAAATTCCACAGTAGGACTGCAAATCTCTTGTGAAATTTGATCTTTTCTGTGCTATCTTTATCATTTTCATAATCACTTTTCTGATTTACCTGAGTATACTCGAGCAATATTATTATATTTATCCCGTTATCTCACAGGGAAGCGGTTAATATTATATAACGGATCAATAACTTTTTCCTAATTATTTTTTTGTATTTATTTATTTCAGTATCTTTATGGAGCTTACATCGAAAAGTGGTGGAGAAATTTTTAACTCCAAACAATTTACGAGTCCACTCTAATATATTTGTAGAACAATCATTAGCATTTATGAACGAATTAGAAAAAGTTGAAAAAGATGGAAATGAAATTATCTTTCTTGACTTTGTATATAAACATATTTTGGACAGTGCACTTGGTAAGAATTAGTAACTTTACTATCTTGTAAAATGTCTACTTTTGTATATTAAAAACAATTTTAAGATAAGAATTATTTGGTGAAAAATATAATTCTTGTATATTTTTTTGTAATATTTCTAAAAATTTCTAAAAACAAATTAAAATAAAAATTTTGAAATTTCCCGTAAATTACAATTACATAATTACAGACTTCAAATGTTTATTAATACATATAAACACATTGGATACGTTTAGAAAACATATGAAATAACCATGTGCTATCTGGAATATACATTAAGAGTTGTCAACGCCAGAAGACTAGACTAGATCATTTTACATATCCCCTTTCGTAACAAAATACAGATAGATTAAATAAAATAAAAATGTTAATTATGATTTAATGGAAATTAGTTGACAATTATTTTAAATGTATATAACGCAAACTTAAGTGCGAAAAACATATTATTTTATTCCAATGATATTTAGATTACGAAAACAATATTGGTAATATTACTGGAAAATAAAGAAAATAGATCTCAATTCATAGGCATAAAAATTGTGCTAACAAAAGTAGAATAATTTATTGTAATTATTTTTAAAGTTAACTTTTATCCCTGGTAGAAAAATCACCATGGTGCTAGGCTGGCGCTAACTTACTTGCCCCACTGCCTGATAAGGAGCTAGTATGGCATGTAGACTAGCGCCAGACATAAAATCATCACATTCTTCCAGTTTAATACCCGATTTAATCGACTAGTCAGGCGTTAGCTAGCTCTAGTGTAGTGCTATCTAGCCGTGGTGTGGCGCACGGTAGTTCTGATGTTGTACTATCTAGCCATGATGTGGCGATAGCTAGTTCTCACGCAGTTCTTATTTTTATAATCGACATCCAGACGTTAAAAATAAAATTTAATATTTTTCATTAAAAATATATATAACAAAATATAAAATATTTAATTTTCGATAATTCTCTCTTAATATTTTTACATACACATGTCCGTATAGAATTTGACGTTGCAATGTTCGGAAAAGATCTAAATGTTCACAGAAAATGATATTCAATAGAAACTCAATGTTTTATATCCAAAATTATATTAACATAAATTTTTTAAGCACTGTTAATCTGGACATTTAAATATGGAAGTTATATGAAAGTATTAATATGTTAAAACATTGAACAAAATTGTTTCAACTATTGTGTGAACTTTTTATTCTATATGGATGATAAAATGAGAAATACAATTAAGGAATAATTTAAGAATAATTTTAAAAAATTAACAACTTGAAAAGACAGTTATTAGGCGTTTAGAGTTTGGTTTTTAATTCGATCCTTTCGGTGTCCCTCCCAGTCTTTTGCATTCGACAAAGTATTGCTGATTGTCTTCAAAATGTGGGATTCTTTAATATATTCTCCCTTTATATTTAATCCGATATATATGTCTGAAATAATTGTAAATAGAAATAATAAATTATGCACATACACGGTATGAGTTCAGTTACTTACTGATAATAATTAAATAATATAGTTATTTTACCTTCAATATACTGATACAGACGAGTTCTTTTGAAAACTTTTTTCCCGTTTATCTCTTTAATTGCCGTGTATTTTAATGCAATCTCTCTTGACATAATTATTTTTAATTTGTTGCTAATGTTTTTCGATAATGTTTGATCTACATCGATGTACTGACGTAAATAAGCACACTGAAAATATAAACATAGAAATTGTTAGACTATGCAAAACACTATCAAAGAACTGTTATTATATTTTACATACACACACACGCGCACACATACTACACACATTTTAATTATACTTATACCAGATTTATTATACTTATACCAGAAGCACTTACAAATTCAGAACAAAAATTTTCCATTTTTAATTTTGTGTTAAATTACAAGCAGCCGTTTGATTAATCAGAACACTTTTTATTTTTTTATATCAAATGCGATATTTTCTACTTTTGAAAGTAGCAAATTTATTTTTGTAAATAAAAATTTATTTTAAAAAATTTCGAAACATATATACATAAAAAATTATATATATATATGTGTGTGTGTGTGTGGAAAATTTCGATTGCGTTTATAATTTCAACTAACTTGTATCATTTATTTCAATCGCAGATTTCAACTGTTGTATAACATCAGCGGAACCCTCGTTTAGCTGGTTTGTTAAAATATTCGGAATAGTTGATATGACGGGTATTTCATTTTCAAACAGTAAGACATTTTCCTCCTGGCACTGTTGATCTGAAAAATATACAAACTTCTAGTAAAAATTAGTCAAGAAATATATAGTATAAGTTTATCTAAAAATACCATACCTAAATTATTTGAAAACAAGTCCAAGTCATAGAATTTTTCATCTGAAAAAAATACACCATAAAATTAAAGAATTCGTAAATAATGTATTCTATAAAGAAACATTTCATCATTATGAAATCATTGAAACGTATTTTATTATTTATAATTATACGATTTCTCATTTGCCATTTACTTCTGTAATTCAAGATAATTAAGAATATCAACATTTAATGTTGTGAACAAATCTAATCTGAATGTAAACGAATATAAATAAGAAATTTTATAAATTACCTTTGTCATGTTTATCTTTACTAGATTCTTCATAAGAATCATTTTTCATTGCAGTGTAATTTTTGTCGTTGGTTTGCTGTGACATACACTCATCTGGAAAATAATTATAAAAATAATAATGTGTAAAATTATAATAAATGATGCAAAGTATTTAATTACGAATGTAAACACAGAAAAATGATGTTTGTTCAAGTGAATTAATTTGAGAATTACTAGCATTTTTTACAAAACTTCATTAGATTTCTCAT